TTTTTTTTAGAAGATCTGGTTTATACGAAAAATTATTTTTAAAAAATATTTTACGAAAAGTAAAAGATTTTTGGCTTCCTAATATTAACGAAATACATTCAAATAAAATTTTCTAACAAATAAAAACAACATATAACCGAATAAATAAAATAATAGCCATTTTATTGCAGTATTAAGGTGATAATTTTCCGTTCAAATGTATTTTTTTCAAACATTTCGAAACATCAGACAAAACATGGCACCCAAATATCTGTCGTCGCCTCTCTTCAATAAAGGTTCAATAAAATACTATAGCCTGCAGTGCCATCTGTTCTGACATCAGTTAAGAATAAATATTGTCTACCATGCATTATAGACAATGCGAACTTTAAAAAAAAATTTTTTTAACATTTCTTTAAACATTTATTTGATTTAATCATAAAATTAAGTTCATATGAAAGTTTTTCAAATTTAAAATCATTGAATTATAAATGTTTCAGCTTTATCATTATTAGAATGTGTATAAAAAAAATTTTTTTTCTTTCAGGTCTTTTACGCAGAATTTAGTAAAATTTTGTGATAAAAGAAGAGTTAAGTCGGCTTTTCCTCGGGAAAAAGCTATTAGTGAAGCCCTAAAATATTTGCATTAAAAATTATATAATTTTATTAAACGTAATTTGTAATTATAAAAGGACAAAGAATCAATATAATTTAATTAAAACATTTCCCATATCAATAAAATTCTGAAACATTAATCATAACAGAATTTTTAATCATGATAATACTCATAATGATTATAGAATCATAATAGAATTTTTGAATTCTATTATCAAATTTTCTTAAAAATTTTTATAAAATACTGGGACCCACTGAAGCTCCACTCTCAGAGGGTCCCCATACTTTACAATTTCTCCCTCTCCGTAAAATATATCATTAATTTTTAATAATTTTTTAAAACTAATTAGGCAAATGATTATTGTTAATTTTATGCTTTAATTTAGAATATTTAAAAAATTTTTCTTTTCTGTTTTCTTCTCAAATTTATCTATTTCAGTATGAATATTTTTAGAAACTAAACTGTAATTAATAAATAGACTAAGCTACAAACTTTACATTTAACATCTACATTTTCATTACAATAGCTTTTAATACATTGTTTAAGGATTGTTTACTTTTAAAACATCTTAANAATATGTCTTTGAAGATCCTACTATGGCCTATGTATGCCATGTATAAATGGACATATAGAGAATTATATGTTGGCCATATATATACTTATTCTGTATAATGACACAATAGGTCATTAATTATAAGATTCAGTAATGGCCTATTATAAAAATATAAAATATATGTTTTATCACATTTTTAAACTTATCTAGAAATTAAAGGATCATAAACTTATCTAGAAATTAAAATTAAAACAGAATAGACCTAGAAATTTCCTAAATTGTATGCCTTAATAAATTAAAAAATAATAAAGATAATTTAAATTAAAATAATAATTCTAGAAATTAATTTTAATATATGAACGATTCGTCATAAAACTTTTCTTATGCATATTTAAGTAAACAAATGAATGAACTTGGCAGGACTCGAATCAGTAAATGCCAATATATATTTTAATTATCTGAAAATATAATACTCTCTATCATCAATAAAAATACATATTTTCTTAGCTTATAATAATATAAAAAAATGGATTTCCAATTTCATACATTATAAGAAAATATCAAATTTTATAAATCAATATTTTCATGGATACAAATCATTTTGTTACGTAACAGCAGAGATTGTATTTTTTTTTATAAAAAATGCAGATAAAGTAAATAGTCTAAAGACATGAATGTTTTAAGAGGAAAAAAAAAACTTCTTTTAGATTTGTTTTAATATTTCAAAAAGAATATTGATATGCAGTATAATCCTTTCTCTGCTGTTATATACAGTAGAAAGTATGTCAAATGGTCAAAAAATTAACCCCCAAAATTTTTACATTTTTTGGACTCGGAAATTTGCAAAAACATTTGGTGTTTTTCTGTATGTATGGATGTTAATGTGTGCCTTTGTTTACCCATTTTGAAGCTTAATGACTCCTGTGCCTTTTGTCGAAAATTTCTGAAATTTTGCAAGGAAGTTGGTATATTAGGGACATTAATGCTATTAAATTTTGACCTTTAACCTTGACCTTTAACCTTGTAGTTAAAGGTCGAGCGGGTAGGGAGATAGAGGGTAGTTCATGTTTCATATCTCGATGGGGTCGAATTTTATTCATTATTAATTAACACGTACAATTTTTTCTTTATAAAACTCATCTCTATCTTAAAAATTAAGTTTTTTGCCATTTTATAATTTAATACACACTATTTAGTTATAATATGAATTCCTTCTAATACAAAACATATTCTGCATTTTGTATCAATCTCTCTCTTTTTTTTTTTAACAATATGCTGATAATATTAATTAAAAC